CTTGGAGATCTTAACCACGGGGTGTGGTTCTGGATAGTTTGCAGGTACGGAAGGAGTCTGTCTCGGGGGGGATTGGGGATGCTCAGAAGACACCTCGTCAGGATCTTCAGTCAGGTCCTGTGAGAGCCGTCGGCGGGGGCGGTGAGTTTGATGCGGCGCTGAACGAACGGGGATAAGTCCCAATACAGTGGGATGGTTCTCCGGTAGGTTGTCAACGGGTGTGAGGGTCGCCTTGGGTTCAAAACCGAGAGAGGCAGCTGCGATATGGACTTTGCGAGGCTCAGGTGCTGGGGTCGGAGGTGCGTCAAATCTTGGGGTTCGACGAAGACTTCGGGGCGTGGAGAGCCGCTCAATGGGATCCGACGTCTGATTAAACAGCGGTCGTGAGCCAAGACTTGGAGTCCTTGAATGCTGGCGTTGCGGGTGCTGGGTAGGGGTCGTGGGCGCGTTAGTGTCGTGACGGTCGTAAGAAGCAGATGATGATCGTATTCTGGTCACGTCTGCGGCGCTGAAAGGGCGAGGAATTGGGTTGCGAAAGTTCGACAAGTTGAAGGTTCACCAGCGGGCGCTGGTGGTGTGTTGCGTTACGGTGGAGGTTTCGGGAGGGTGGAGTGGGGGAAGCTCCTGATGCGTTGTACAAAAAGTCGGTTTCTTTTCGAGTTGCCAAGCGGGTGAGCAGTTCAGAATGAAGAGGCCTCTTCAGACTGAATGACAGTGATGGTCTCGGGAAGGACGGCCAGGTCTCAGTCCGGTCTGAGTCTACTCGAGACAGAACCGAGGAGTGTAATTGCCCAACTGGAATGTTGAGGCGAGTGAAGTAAAGTTGAGGAGGGTCAAATTGGGTGAGCGTATGTGAGCCCAAGAGGATGGGCACCGGCTGGTGATGTCAAAAAAAAGCTGGTGGCAGGAAACCCAAGCCAGGCCCGAAGCTGGAAAATTGGGGGGTTGGTACTAGGAGCTGCAGTGACCGCCCGCCAGACCAAGGTCCAGACAAGCTGAGAAGTCCTCGAGAAACGAGCCACTAGTAAGAGAGAATCTTTAACTGCAAGCACTTCGCACAAAACGCACGCGCACGCGATACGTAAAATAACCAGCGCGAAATGATCGGTATTCGACTGACGTAGCCAATTACTTTATGCGGTGGACTTTATAGAAACAATGCGAGTTTGCGCTCAATCGCATATGTTCGACGATGCCAACGCAAGGAACAAAAAAGGTTGTTTGGAGGTTTGCGCGCGCGTGGCCGAGCAGCTAATCAGCAGCTCGTTTCGTTTGATCGAGCTCTTACTGAGGCCGCTTGAAGGGGCTTTCTTCGTCCAGCGAATCTGTTTGCAGCTCGAAAATTAGTAAATGTCGCGCAATGGCTTGAACGTTGTCGCGTAGCCGTCATGCGCAGCTCGGAGCCCGAACAAGCAAGCAGTGCTGCAAGTGAAGCTAAGTAAATCGAGCGGCTGGGAAGGACGAAGCAAGGGGAGCACAGGAGCAACATACTCCTCTTTTGGGGGCCAATGGCGTCTTTCCGAGGAGTTTTCTTATCCACGCATGAGTTGAGGTATCACCATCATGCGCGAAGTGGTTGTTCTTTAGGGGTGATGATAAAAAGAAGAGGTGAAGGTAGAGTAACAAGTTGGAAGGGGAAGAAGAAGGAAGGTGCGCGCACTGACGTAGGGACCTACCTGCTAAGGTAGGTATAGAAGCTGCGCTGTCAAAACTGCGCCGAGTCTCCTCCCTCAAACCATAGAACTGGCAATGGCACTGGCAATAGCACTGCCCGCCGGAATTGATGACTTAATGGAATTAGTTGCGCCAAGTTTCCTTGGTTTGACGAACAAAGAGCGATAAAAACTTTGCCAACTAATGCAACTAATAGTTAATGCCACTATTCTTTAAGGCTTGACCGGGATCGAGGATCATCATATCACTAGCATTGGCCAGCGAGAGTTCATCCAGACGGCGACAGATGCTACAAATATATTATTATTTCAAACATCACTATTGAAGTTATGATTGAACAAGCAATTCGAGCCGAGTGTCTTTGCCTTCCTTTGATTCACGTCTTTGACTTTATAATGTACGGTACGTAGTAGGTTAGTAGGTACGCGTTAGACTGTACCTGAGGTAGGTACCTTACACCCTCGAATGGTAACCTTAGTAGTTCCTTAGGTACTTACTAAAGGTACCTACCTGACGGCACTGCGTTAACGGTCCCTGATTCTAGGGTAAATCCACCCAATAACTGCCTAAGAGTAGGGCAATGACAAAGAGCTGGAGGTTTGGATATCAGGCAATTACTTCGTACCCTTCTTCTGTCGATTCTCATGCATCGTTTCGGAGACTCGCGTTTAGCCTGTCTACTCATCCATCCCGTTGACTTCCCATATCACCTCATCTTATCCCACCTCGCCGAGTCCTGGCATTGTTCCCACACGTTGTTGCATTGGGCAATAAGGCTTGAACCACCTCTATCGAAACCCGATAAGCTTAGTTGGACCAAGATTAATCTGACTGCTCCAGGCAGTTGTCACCGTTTCAAAGTATTGCCTTTATCATTGACTTCCCCAAGCCTTTGCATGGCAGCACGTCTCTACCGGGTTGTACAAGAGCTTTGAGCTACCGACTGACTCTAGCGTAGGACCTTCTCGATCGTACTGACCGCCCTTGACATACAGGGTTCGAGGTGGAAGCAGAGCTGCAGCGTAGGATTACTCAATGCCAGGGAGTCTTGGGCACGAAACAGACAGGACGAGGCGGGCTGCACTATTGGTCGTCGGGACCTCAAGCTAGGTCGCTGGAACTTTAGCGCTCATATTGTTACTCCATACTGTAAGTGAGAATTGTTGTCCGTTAGCGGGAGCCGGATCTTGATCCCGCCCCAGCCCTCCTGGTTTTGGCCCATGCTTTCCGCACCGAGCAGCTGGTTTGCTTGGGCGAAATAGGAAGTGGAAAACGGGGCCGAGTGCAACGCTGCGTCATGGCGTTAGGTTATGGTAAGTTAGGCGGAACAACGGTTGACTGCCACGTTTCCTACAGCTACATGCCGTAAGTTATTCTCTTTCGGGCCCTCCACCCGACTTTAGGCTTCAGTCCTTAGAGCCCCAACGTTGAGTGTGTGAGCATAGGTATGATGCGAAGGTCGGTGAGGGATGAATTAATTCCTCCTCAAGGACAGCCCAAATCTCATACCATCAAGCTCATGAGGCCAGTCTATTCCAGATCTGGTCTGGAGGAGCGGGAGTCACGGCACGCCCCGTTTTATGGGGTCTTCAGTCTCCAATCAGAGTCTTGTTCCTTGTTTTCCTAGTTCGGTTTTGAGCTGAAGCTGAAGCGGAGCAATTGGAGGCCCTGAGTTCTGTGCTTGGCGTCTGTAATCGAGAGACAGCATCAACGTGTCGCGATTTGGATCATATTTGAGTCGATACCAGGCACTTCCGGAGTTATTGTTCCTTGCACATGATGCCTCACCCAACAAACTACTTGTGGGTATTCTCGCAGGTTCTTGGGAATCGTTGGGCTTTTCCTCCTCTCTCCTGCATCCTGCATGTTGCATATTCGTGTAACACTAGAAGTGACGCCCAAACGTCCACAAAATGACCAAGGTGAATCGAGCTGCTGGTCAGAGGTGCACCGAGTAAACGCTTCCCAGTCCCTCCCTTCAGTTGGTGCTCGGGTTTCTTGGGTGCGTATGAGACAGCCGATGAGTGAAACATAAATGATCACATTTGCTGAGTCGAAACTGCTCTTCTGTAGGGTAACTGTTGGGCAAAAGTGCAGCATTGTCTGAGTCCTTTGATTCTCGAATTGGTCGATGAAAATGTAGGCGGCGTAGTCAACTCGGTAGGTGCCTAGCCATGTCTCGCCAAGAGTGCGCCTTCGGATGTTTTGTGGCTTTCCCAGTTCGTTATCGGATACTGTGTTGGAATGAAACGAGGGTTGGTGTGGACTGATACCCTATAGTCATGGGAGAATCCGCTGGTGTGAGGATCATGAGGAAAGGGCATCACGAACCTCATGAGGCTTCATCTCGATCAAGGAGACAAATTTTCCACGAGATATGGAAAATAGCCACAAGTTTAATGAGCCCACCGGTTTCTTTATAATAAGTTTGAAATCCCAGAGCCAAGAGTGTCTTGAGAGATCGAGCGATCGAGTACAGAGTCCTATGATGGTTGCAACCAGGATCATTGATTTGGAGCATCCCTACCTTAGAAAACCAGTTCTTGAGATATGAGTCTTGCTTCTACAACATATTCAGCTTCGCGGCCCTCTTACTGGACGCCTCAAAAGTTGATCTAGATTCTTTGGTTGCTTCCCAGACAGAAAGATGACTCATCTCCAATATTGTCGAGTAACAAGTCGACCATGAGAGAGCCCAGGAAATAGGCTCTTATCTGATGTGATGGGAATAGTCTCTGGTTGGCTTGCTATACGAAATATGTGAGTGAATTCTCAGCCCTAAGCAACCTTCATCAAAGGCCATCCAGGAATGTGATTATCGAAGCCAATGTGCGAAGACTGTAAGAAGCCACCGTATAAATATCAGATGAGTACACAGTTCGGATGAATGTTCCTGCAGCCAGAAAAAGACCACCACTCGTTTTGCCCCTCTCTAATAAATCTCTGCTTAGACAGATCTTTCCAATAGCTCAAAAACATGCATATAATCTGCAGCTAAGATGCAAGATGCAGGCACACTTTGCACTCTGCATTTCAGCTGGTGAGAGAACGATCGCAAAATGCTCGATCTGGCACTTTCTCGATCGCAACTATGTGACGCATACAAGGCGTGCATGAAAGCCATGAGATAACTGTCTTCTCAACACCATCGCCATTCCTGCGCTTGACGAAACATCAGATTTTAGGAGTCACGACCGATAAAGCAGGGCAGAAACACAGCCAGATCGCCGATCTAAGATCGAGAAAAGGCTATGCATGAGCGATTTGGGTGCTATAAGCCCTTGCGGCAATGAGGCTGGTGGCCTGACACAACACCATTTTAAGACATGCATCGCGCGAACTGTCCAGAGAAGGGGGTCGCAAAGGCTCAGAAGCTGTCACTATCGTGTCATGCAGGTTAGTCCTGATGCTTGAGTAAGGGGTTCGACTCAACGACTGCCTTTCGAAGGATGAAGCTCATGTTTTGACCGGAAAGGTTTTCATGCGGGAGAAAGGGTCCAAGGTGACATTGAGGGAGATGTAGTGTGTAGGTGAGGGAGTTTGGTGAGTGAAGGGAGAAGAACTAGAACTAACAAGGTTACCTATGAGTGCAGATGCAGGAAAGAAAAAAGTGATGTATATCTGTTGGCTCTGCCTGTTGTTGAACAAACTATAGATTTCTACACTATACTTAAATTAAAATTCAACTCCTTCGTTATTCATCTCTGAGTTTTCAAACAAGTTAGTTAGTAGGTATTAGTTAGTGAATCTTATCCTCTCTTTTCTCCGTGGGCTTGGTTCCTGGAGATGGTGGGGACCCTGCGTCAACGATGCAAGATGTGCAAGCTACCTTACCTAGTGCAGGGTACAGCTGCCGATACGACCATCAGGTCAGGGATAAAAAGTTGTTCAGTGCATTATTTCCTACATATCACTTTTCCAGTCATCGGCAGTTGTTCTGATTGGCAAACACTGAGGTAGGGAGATGTCTAGCTCATGATAGTAATATAGTATACATGTAATAGTGGACTAACTAACAGTCGCTTACGTGCCTCCTTTGAGCCAAGCTGAAGTTTACTAGGGACTGCTCAGCTTCCTCTTCCACTTGTGAATTCTTCGCCACTGAATCTTCAGCATCACATCCTCTATCTCCTGGAACAGTCACAGTCTCCAACTACAAACCGCGCGGAGTCGCCGGCCAATGAATCCAGATGCAATAGAGCATTTTTCCTATTCCACAAAAAGACTGCGTTGCTACGGATCAAAGATCCACAATCTCAGCTCAACTAACACTCATCCGATGTTGTTCTGAGCTATCGGAGACAAGTGTCTCACGACTCCACTCAGAGACTGCGCAGTTCTCCCATCTTCTGGATACCCAAGCAGGGAGGATCCCTCAAGACCTCGACACTGAACCCTCGGCTCAGGCCGTGCCTGTGTCAGTCACTTCCGTCGCGACTCGCGTTCTGTCCGCTCCAGGTGGTCCAGGTCTTGCTGGTCTCCATATTGAATGCCTTATTCTGAGTCTCGCATGTCGAGATGCTTCAGTTGAGCACAGCGCTCAGACGCCTCTCATAGTGAGCGTGCCAACAGATACTGCCATCATTTTTCTCGAGATGCCTTTGAAACCAAACAATAACCGCTATACCAAGTATGAGTTACCAGTCTCGGCCACACTGCGGTATTCAATGCGAACAAAGGGCTCAACTGCTGTTCAAAGACGCGGGCCAAACATAGCTCTCAGCATCGGCCTTGTTCGCCGATCGTGGAAAGAGTCTGACATTCCCCAGGGACCAAACCTCACGAGCTCCCGCGTGTCTCGACCTAGTACTAGGGACCCGATTCCTTGGAAACCTGCCGACTCGCTTAAGGGATGAGCACAACGCGTGTTGAATGGACACACTAATTATTCTGGTCCCGAGTAAACAACTCAGAATCAAGGAATTAAGCCCGTTGAAGCCGTCTGGATGCGACTTCACCATACCATTGCTGCTCAGAAGACCTTTGTTGCTTACATGAACGAGTCAAGCATACTGACTGTGCTTTGTGCCTTCGCGCCCAGCTTTCCTTTGTTTATTGTCAATTGGTCTATTTTGGTACCTACCAGCAATTGACTGCTTTTTCCGGCGTCGTCGGGTCTGAATCTCCTATCCGAATCATTATTTCACATTGCTTCTTTACGGAAGATGCACTCTGGTCATCCGCCGACAGGCTACTGCAGAAAAGAAAAGAAAAGAAAAGAGAATCATGCATCTGCAGCAGACCTGTAATAGTTTACAGTACGGATACTGCAAGTCTGAGAGTCCAGAAAAATGACAGCCAAAAAGTGTGACGCAAGGGATCAATCGCGCGTCTGCATACCAAACAAACCCCCGAGGCCCGAGCCCGAACTAGAGCAAGCCCATCTTCCTGTCAAAGCCCTTGGGAAGATGCAAGTGTTCGGAATGCTCCTGGGGCTGTCTGGAAAGAGGGATGGCTCCATGGCTAGAGCTAGACTGAGAAGCCCCTCTACCCAGGAATGCCCCTCCAGGTCAAGGGCGTCTGCTTGATCAACATAGACACATGCAATGCAACGCTCAAAGTGGGTGTACTGGACCCACGCTATGTTTCAACTTCCTTTGACAGCTTCTCTGCTTTCATATCTATTTGTATATCATGCCTTCTGCATCCCTGGCTTATTCATTTCGATATCAATATTGTTGCGAGTTAATTTCATGCTTCAAACTTCACGATCCACCATGGAACCCTCTAGCAGATTGGCCGACCTCAAGCTCGTTTCAAAGTACTATCCCGTCACCAACTACTCGTATCCTCAACAGCCGGAACGCCCAACGCACCATCGAAGTCGCTTCTCTGACGACAGAGCGTCATTGGGGTCTGAGGGATCTTCACCCAGTCTGATCGACGACCGAACAGACTCGGAAGTTTCTCTGGACGACGACTATCAGTATCACGCTCATGCTACAGAGCTTTGGGATAGCTTCTGGCTTCCAAGCAAGAGCAACAACCACGAGGCACACCCAAGAAAGCAGTATCCAGCTTTGATTCCATCTCCGCACCCACAAACCCAACAACAACATATTCAGCAAAAGCCGCAAATCCATCAGATGCCACAACAGAAGCAGCAGCCTGAGCAGCGCCGTCTCAACCCATTGCCTCTCCCCAAGAGTGTTCTGAACCAAGGCCGAAAGCCAAGTGCAACTTACTCCCCCTTCCCAAAGCCTCTCCCACTTCCACCTCGAAACGCACCAATGTCCCCATCTTGGCATTGCTCTAGAGATGTGAGGCAGAAGCCTCAACGTCCCCCTCGTCCCCACGAAGAGGTTTTCATATTCCGCTCCCTCCAGAACTCACCACTCGTTGCACGCTTTGCCATTTCTCAAGACTCACCCCGACCTACTACACCAAAGGACAGACGTCCCACGACATCTCAAGAGATGCGAGCCCCAACATCCACAAAGGTCATTTCACACTCTGAAACCGCCTTACGCCATTCAGCGGGACATGTTTGTGCACCCAAAACCCAGCCACCCGCTTCTGTGATGCGCTCAAAGAAGTCTCTCCCTTGCATGCGTCCTCTTCCGCCAACTCCACAACCGGAGACGGAAGAGAAACCGGAGGCTGAGCCCCACTCAGTCTTTGAATATGATGACTCTGATACTGAGTCTGGCAGCCGCTCATTCTGGTTTCATCGTCGGTCAGGAAGTGACCAACGAAAGACAGGCCAGCGAACTGCACCCTCATCGCCTCGCAAGAGACAAAACGATGTCATAGGGCGTATGCTAGGACGACGCAGTCGAGGCTGATGACCATATCACTTTTCTTTTTCTTCAGGTCGCTTTTGCTTTTTTCTTACGACCACCTTCTTTTCACGTACATGATGATACCAACTACAATGTCTCTACGACCTATGACAACTTCACACTCATTTATGACTCAAGTGGAAACCTCCACTATACGCATCGACGTTGCCAGACGCGACATGACTTTAACGACCTATCTTTTTCTTCCTTCTTTTCTCTCTCTCTCTTTTACGGATGAACGCCGAGAGAACCAGCACGGAGTTCCGGAAACCCCCCAATCTAGGGGTTGGAGAGTGGCACGTGGACCACCACTCGCTATTCATTATTTCCTTTGTTATACTGGTTTTGGTTTTTAGAGCCAGACGCATTCGCCTGAATACCAGATTCAGAGCAGGCGCAAGGAAAAGGTGGCTGGGTATTTGACTGACGAACAAAGGTGCGTGTACAGTCAAAATAACGGGATATGAGTTCTCATGAAAGAACATTCCTGATTTGAGTCCGGAAAGTCCAAATGGGGAAAAGGCTACGGGGAGTCTCTTATCATAGCAATTCTTTTATATAGGATTAAACAACCAACGGCTATTGCCGAATGAAAATAGCTTGACGATGACGTCCACACACTACTTGTTCTCAGACATACGGTCATGTGCTTCGCTTTGGTGTTGTGAATGCCTTCATGTGGTTGGTGATGTCTCACCCAACCACAGACACTCGTTGCCCATGACAATTATCACATACGCATTGGAACCATGTCTTGATACATATAGCAGCTGAAAACCGGCCGTAATGGAGCCTGGAGACCCAGATATTGTCTCCTCTTCTTTCGTATTCATCCGTTCTAAGGTTCCCCAGCCATACACAAGACAAGCAGTCTAAGAGCAACTGAGACATTACTTTTTCTCCAATCTGGGACGAATTCCTCAAGACTCCCCAGCAACATGGCACATTCCAATACTTCCATTCCATTCGCCCCAAGGTATCCTTCTCTTCAACGTACATAAACAAGCCATCCTTTAACGTGTGAACATCAACCCAAGTATTTACCCTTTTCCAAAACGCCCAAACAATGCAGCCATTACATGCGAGTGAAAACCAATCAACGCTTCGAGTACACCAAAACAATCAAAACTACACGCGTCCAATAAGCCAAGTATCGCAACACAATCAAATCTTGACTGGGTTCGTATCATGAGAGCCCGTTCGGTCTCGAACCCCCTTTAGACATTACAGCATCAAGTCGTGCTTGTGAGCACCATTATCAGGTAGATCTATGTGATCTCATTCTTTTTTCGGTAAATCGTTTCATAGGGCGGACGCTGTCGTAGCGCTCGTCCCGGGAACCGCCAAAGTACCACATTGACTGCTCACGGGGATCAGAGCGATCAAGACCCAGGCGGGCCTTGAGGTCAGTGGTGTCCCTGACGGCTAAGAAAGCAGGGTCTGAGAGAGTCTCCCGAGCCGCAGTGAGAGAAATGATCTCAGCAACACTGTCGACAGAATGAGGGATGCGGAGGGCCCGGCGACCGGGCAGCATTAGAGAGAGGCAGCCGAGGTAGAGGAAGAGGAAGGCGAGGAGAACGCCAAAGACGGGCATGTTGGGGAACATCTTGACCTGGCCACGGAAGTTGGTCAGAGCCATGAAGAGACCACCTGCGAGGATGGGGATGAAGATGAAGATTGTGGCCATGAAAGAGATCACAGCAACACGCCAGTGGCCGTTACGGAGAGCTTTCCATGTACACTGGAAGGGGTAGCAAGCAGCGTAATCGGCGAGGATGGACTTGGACGCAATCTCACCAGAAGACTTGGACATATCTGCCCAAGGCTGGTGGGTGCGGAGGGCGTCGTCGAGGCCTTGGAAGAGCAAGAACATGATCATGCCCAGTAGAGAGGGGATAAACGCGTAGAGGAAGTTGGCCGCAGAGAAGGCTCCGCTCCCAGGTCGGGCAGGGACCTGAGGGAAGTATCCCTGGTCCAGTCGAGTCTGAGGCAAGAAGGAGACAATAACAATTGCGAGGATCAAGAGGGTCATGAAGATGACTGAGCCCAGAATCACGGAAGTTCGCAAGGCGATAGGCGTGTATTTGTAGTGGCGAACTTCAGCCTCAAGGTCATCGAGAGAAGACGCAGGCGAGATTTCAGGCTTCTTGAGGACGAGGTCGTAGGTTCTGTAATCAGGGTGACCACCATCACCAACGGAGCCGATGCCGTACCACACGCCACCTTGCTGACCATCCATCTGCCAGTAACCGAGTCGGTCAAGAGCACGCTGGCGAAGTTGGTCCTGCCGTACATCGTTGCTCTGAATAGCCTCCGGGCTGTTGTAGCTACTGGTAGTGTTGCTCTGGCTTAACAGGGGAAGGAGATGTCCCACAGATCGAATATCCCACAAGAGCCCCGTCCATCGGTTGCGCCAGAACATCATCAAAGCGATGGTGGCTGCCAACAACAAGATATAGAGCGCGACAAGTGTCCAAGCAACACCCTGAACTGCAGCCCAAACCCAGCCCTGGTCCTTGAAGATGCATGTGAAGGCTGTGCTCATTAGAGGGATCGTGAAATTAGCGAGCCATGTGCACACACTGAAGCACTGGAATTGCCAGGGTCCTGTGAACGAGGGAATGAGGAATGTCATAGGACGCAATCGTCGGAAGAGGGCGAGATATCGTTCTCGGGGCTCGGCATCAGCCATGGCGGTGAATGGTATAGTTCGTATTGAAGCAGTGACGATGGATTGGGCGTAGATTAGGATGATTCCTGCGAATATTTGAGGCAAGATTCTGAACAAAAAGTATTGACCGCTGTAGATACTTCCAGGATATGGAGTGAAACCACCATGATTTTGCGAGTAGACAGCGCAGAAGATGAGAGCGGCTATCATGAGTAAACACAACAAGGCAAAGATGCACATAAAGACTGGTCGAAGAATGGCAGGCTTGAAGACGAGAGGAGGATGCGCTCGGTCAATGGGGATGGATCGAGGGCGAGCCTTTTCCCTCTGAGCGAACTGGTCAGGCTCAGAGTGATCTGAAGGAGTTGGTGACCGAGGAACGGCTGGTACATCTTGATGAGCAACGGGCTCGCTGTGATGACGAGCATTTGGCGCAGGGTGCACGGAGGTATCGGGCATCTCGTGGCGAGGAGCTTGCGTCTCGATCGGTTCTGGTAAACGATCTTCAACGTAAGCGGGCTCCGGTTGTGTCAATTGAGGGTATCCCCTCGCCATGTCCTCATCGGCGTACCGTCTTGGTTGTGGGTAGTCCTCCTCGTAGTCATTGGAAGATCCGGAGGGGAAATGCGCAGCAGAAGGACCGCCGTGATTTCTCGTCAGAGCCTCAAGAGCGTATTGAATATATGGTGTATCGTCAACGCCGGGAGTGACCTTGCCAGCGGCTATTGTCAGCTCGTCTTTGATACTCGCCATGCGAGCTGCGTTCTCGGCGGCAAACATGGCCAATTGAGCCTCGTCGAAACGAACAGACCCAGGTGTAGGAGCTGTAGGTGCAGCTGGAGGAGCAACGGGTGGTGCAGTGTGATGCGTCTGCGTTGGTGGTGTAGGCGCCGCAAACCCTCCAGGAAGATCCGAACCGAATAATCGTTCAGGTCCGTAGATCTCAGCTGTCGAGGCTGTGACCTTTGATGGTGGTAGAGAAGGAGGCGACGGGGCAAAGAATAGAGCACCAGGCGGTGATGCTGAAGGATTGGCAGAGTTTCGTCCTACACGCTGTCTAAGATCATAATATGGGTGAAGAATTGGCTGAGATGATTGATCGTCGTCGTCAATTGACTGTTGACCAGGAGTCTGTCTCTTTGGAGGACCTTGACCTGTGATGGTAGGCTCGTCAGCGACACCGACAGACGAAGCCAGTTAAGTGCCAAGTGTGTGTGTATGGGTGGTGTTGGTGTAGATGTATGCATGCAAGGTATGTAAGTGTAGTGTAGTGTAGTGTAGTGCAGTGCAATGTAATGTGTGTATGTGTATCTGTAAAAGAGGGTGTGATATTGTCACGTACGAGGTGCTTCCACAAAGTCGAAGTTGAGGTTTTGGAAGTTCATTCTTGTTCTGGTTCTTTTTCTGGGAGAGATCAAGAGCAACAGACTGAGAGAGGGTGTAAAACCTTGGAATGCAGACCGACTTGTTCCCACTCCACACACTCACATACAACACACAAGCTCGTTTTGACCAATTGGTATCACAAAACAAGATGCGAGAAGAAGGACAGCAAGTGCATGCTGCAAGCTAAGAGAGAAGAATGAGATATGGTTGGACTATGAGGACTCTTTGCGCGAGGTTGGGTTCCTTGGAGAGGCTGGTAATACTAGACGATGCCATTCCCAGCCTCTTTTTGCCCCGCCAAACAAGGATTGGGTGTCTGAGACAGGGATCGAGGGAGGGGGTGAGACTTACCAGAAGAAAAGGAAGAAAGTCAAGTCGGATACACACGCAGACTTGAAAAAGACTTGATTTGAGAATTATCTGTGCTTTTGTACTCGAAGAGAGTGAGGGAGATTATGTTGGGTTGGGCACACAAGAATTGGCACTCGTGTTCTCACCTCAGGCGATAATGCAGCCGAACTGCTGTGTTGTCACAGCGCTTTTCGTTGGACAACACACTGAACAAGGTGTGGCTAAGCCTATAGAGGTATAGCTCACACGGCCCGTCGGGAACTTGCTACATAGGTAGTACTGGTATGACGGTGTGAGATGGTCCAGTCCATGTGAAGTCCACAGATATGAATGCTGTCAACGGCCGTGAACACGAGCTATTCTCAATGTGTTCCAATTGACTTGGCCCATTGAACATCCACACTTAATTGTCTGAAAGAACCGATCAGCTGTGGTGACATGATGTTTGTGCCGCCTATCACCATGGACAGGGGTCTGAGACATGACCAACCACCTCAAAAGTTATCTGGAACAACCAGGCTTGACATCTACGGATATCCTAGCTTCTACTAGAATTTTGAACACCTGCCTCTCCATCCTTAAACTCAGATCAATCGTTTCAGGTGTACTGTGTTCCTGATTTGGTCTCATCTAGCTCTATCTCGTGGGTGAGATCCTTTAATTAGAGCTTCGAGATGCGTGTAACACAAACAATGCTCAACCTTAGTTACCTATGCTGGGTAATTTGAGATACTCCGTACAGGAAGTATTAGAGACCTTAAATGCATGAATAGGACAACTCAAAGTGATTAAACATAAGTGTCACTGATGTTCAAACGCTTCCATGACACAAAAGCAAGCTGAGCTCTTGGCTTACACAGCTGAAGCTCAATCCACTTATTAAACCACTTCAGGGGCATGGACCGCATTTCCTGCCTCCTCATGCAAGGCACATGCAACATTGACAGCCAGGATTAATCAACGGACTGGGATCGCATCTGTTTTCTCTTTTTTCTTTTCTCCTTCATCCTTGATATGTCATTCTCGCCATCTGAGAGGCTGGTATCGAAAGGGTTGAGTCTTAGATGTTTGTGCGCTGCGTCATGGTGACCAAGCCAACAAGGGAGAAGCACCCTGGATATCTACCCTTACCACGCCTGTTAGGGAGCTGGACCAGATTCTTGGAACGATCGCCAATTGGCGACTGAGTTACAAAAATGTCTGCTTGCTATGATGCCGAAGGGATGAATGCTGGATTTCGTAAAACGAATTAGTGGTGGTTGGCCAAAGGGAGAATCAGCAACCAAGGATTTGGACCAATCAGCTCTCAGTCTAATATCTTCCAGTCTTTTGTTCTGGGCTGTCTAATAAGAAAAAGGTCGCATATCGTATTCCTGGTTCGAGGCTGAATTGGTTCTTACACGAACCTAGTCGAACTGTACTCGATTGCCCCTCCAATTGAGCTTCCAACAAATGCCAGCTTCATCATTGGAGGGTGAGCCCAAAGCTCACCGCGATTCGATTGGCGAAGACGATACACGCCAAGTCACGTGATATTAGTAGTGTCTGTGTAAGCCTGAGCTAATCACCAAATTCTTTCTATTTACCCCACATTATTGCGTAGCAGCGAACCAAATCGCTGAGCAATCATTACAAAGTCAATTACACAGCAAAGCATACTTAGCTATATCTTGTCAGCGTATTTCAATCATCATCAATCGAATCTATTTTCATGCAGGCACTTTCTCGTGATTTCGGTGATTTCGTCTATATATGTTTCGCGTCAGTCCCTTGATTGCGATTTTCGTCGCTGCAATTTCCATCCTCATCATCATCTATCCAAGCAACTACATCACTCACATTCAGCAACTTACAACAAACATTTTCACAAACAAAACCACAACAATTACTTCAACTACCCAAAATCAAATGAACGCTGCAAAGAATATGTCAAAGTCTCTCCGTCACGCAAAGATCACTCCTCATCGCTCCAGCAGCCGAGGTCATAGTGATCATGGCTGGTTGAACACTTACCATAGTTTTTCCTTTGCCGACTGGTATGACCCAAGGTTCAGTCACTTTGGCTCTCTTCGCGTTCTCAATGAGGACCGAGTAAAGGCCAACTCGGGTTTTCCTACTCACCCTCACCGGGACTTTGAGATCTTCAGCTACATCCTGTCAGGAGAGCTCACACACCGAGACTCGATGCTCACCAAGGGCAAGGAGGGAGGACAGTCTGACAAGTTCTACCGCATGCACCGTGGAGATGTCCAGTTCACCACTGGTGGAACTGGCATTGCCCACTCGGAATTCAACGAACACAAGTCAGACACTGTCCACTTTCTTCAGATCTGGGCCATCCCCTGGAAGCGTGGTCTTACCCCCCGATACCACACCCGTCACTTCAGCGATGAGTCCAAGAGACAAGACTTTGTCAAGATCCTGAGCCCTCTCAAGGGTGGCGAGGAAGCTACAGTCCAGCAGGAGAAGGACGCTGAGCCTGTCATCCCCGATACCATCCCCATCCACGCCGACTTTGTCATGGCCGCCGGTATCATCGAGCCAAGCAAGAAGTTTGAGTGGACCGTCGGTGGAGGCGCTACTGAGCAAACAAAGAGAAAGGTCTATGTGCATGTGCCAATGACCAAGGGAGGAAAGGCCAAGATCCGTCTGGACGGCCGGGAGGATTCCGAGATTCAAGAGGGTGATGGTGCCTTCATCGATGGTGTCAATGCCGGTGATAGGCTTGCGGTTGAGAGCATTGGTGAGGCCGAGGCCGAGGTTGTCGTTCTTGATACTGCTTAAGTACAGTCTGACAACGCTGCCTAAGCCAGGGAAGCTATCTGAACAGGAAAGATGGTAGCATTACGACCAATAGAAGTCTCTAGATGTATTTAGCGTGAATCAGTAAAATTGATTTCTTACCATGTTTAAAAACCCCCGTTCTATATTGAAGTTGTCCTTCCAAAGTCTCCAACGAGTTATAAGTTTCGAAGAGGATTTTCGCTGTTGGCAAACTACGTACTAAAATCATCCTTACCACCTCGTGATAAAGCAGTGGGGATCGGATCAAATCCGTCTTATGCCCTGTTGAGTGGTAGGTTAATCCATTTGTCCAACAAAGCACCGAGAGTGACATTTGTTGGCCCATGCATTTATGGACCATCGTCGGACATTTCGAAGAGGATCGTCGACTAACAGATGACTCGACATCGAGAGAAGAGCATGAAGTCAAAAGACAATAAAGAGGTGAGTTCAGTTTAACCGGCTAGATGTGTTCTGGCAGAGAGTCGAGTGCCACGCTGTTTAACACCCTGAGGTCAGAAAGAAAGCAATCATAAAATCGAATGGTGATTGGTAAAAGTAGGCCTCCAGACGGTGCAAGGGACGGCCTTGGCAGCTGGAGATTCTATGCCGACTGCCAAGCAACACGCGGTAATTTGGTGAGGGATGGCCCAGTGAGAAAGCTGTGTAATATGAATGGGAGCGAAATTATACTGGCAATTGGTGGGCTTTGGTAAATCACCATCTCTCAGGGGGCATTGCATCAATTATAAGCAATATCAATAAACACCACGAACGTGCTTTTTCTGACAATAGGCCAAGTTGAAAAGCCTGGAATATTGGAAAGTATTGGACTAGCTGACAAGATGGTTAGCGTGTGGTTGAAAGACGAGACTATGGGTTCTAGGCTCATCAAAAAGAAAGAGAAGAGAAAGCCACACTCAGAGTTAAGCTTACGACGCTTCGGAAGATTACTCGACTCCTTTCCACAGCCGTTGAGTCAGCCACTCTCCTCAACAACGGTTTTATCTGGCTGTAAATCTGATGATACACAGTGACAGCATTTGATGTCACTGACAGATGAATGCCACTCGGAAGAAAGCGAAAAATGTCGATCAAAGGCAGGGACTGAACCCCAGATCGGCAATCTCCCAACGTGGTACTCCGTAGGTAGGTGTCAAGCCTGAACCCTTTCTCATCGTCATCAGGGGTTCAAACCTTCAAACTTCACGCTTCACCACTGCCAAGTCTCTAGGGCGCAAGCCGTCACTTCTGTGATTGAACGACCTCACTGGCCAAAACCTCCGGAGGCATCAGGGGTTTGCTCGAAGTGGAAAACAGGAGCGGTGACGAGGTGAGTAGCTGCGCTAAAAGTTTAGCCCTACAGAGCCAACACAACACGCTATTGGTCGATTTAGATGCAGGAACCACTAGCTCTATCGCTTAGTCTTCCACGACTCCACGTGTAACAGGGGTAGAGACCAACGTCGAGTGACAGCCCCTCTCAGTTTCTTTCCATCACACATGAATATTTTGCAGGAAAAGTCAGTTGTAATGACTCGAGTATCTTCACCTAGAGACAGAGACAAAGTGACACTTGTGATGATCTTCTTGTCGCCAGAGCCTATCCCTGCCAACTCACTTCCATGGACACTGTACTAGGCCACTCGGCCGAATTATCAACTGCGTAGGTAATCGGACCAACGACACTCTAAACATGCTTACTCGGAGATAATCGAACCGAGTCAATTCCCTATCCCCATCCACACTACCCCTAAGACTTACAACTTCGCCGTAGTGACCAGACAGACACTGGTACTGGCGCCGTCTCCAAACGGACATCAACCATCTCCATCTATCAGCCTCAGATGGGAATCATTGGCCTGCCAAGATCCAATTTCCATAATTCCCCTCTGAACCGCTTCCCATATCAACCATAGTGTGATACAATGACACCATAAACGCAGCTTAGCGGCTGAATGTACCTTATCACCGTCCCCATTCTCACCTTGGCGCATCGGCTACGCGGCTCAGACGCCCATTTTCGATAGTCCCTCAGCCGCCCAAGTCCACTTTCGATCAACGCCTAGCCTGTTCCTGAAATCGATAGCCTCCTTCAGGTGTCCGAACTGCAAGAATTCACAGAAAGAGCAAGACCCTTCCTCTGCTGTTCCAAGGCGGAGATTACTTTGCACGATGTGGCCGATTTCGCCGTACTCCATCGACAACCCCGGGGTCTATGTCTAAATGGCCCCCCTCTAGCAACAAGACTCCTTGCTATGTCCTAGATAGGCAACCGCCGGTTCAAATGGCTGGAAAACCAACAGCTGAGATGGCTTTGGCCGTTATGAGATGCGTCTAGGGCAGAAATTTCCCGAGTGTTTGTTCCCTCCATAATAGAGGGCTTTCCCTCTCTTCCCCGGTGTTCCTCTCTGTCTTTCCCATCAACTCTGTTGACAGTGAATTCAAGACGGCTCGGTCCTCGGCCTCATTGCAAACTTTGGTTTGCGTCCTTTCTTTGATAATCGTATCATAACACATTCTTTAACGGCCTCGGCCACATTACAGTCTTTTACAGCCTTTCAGTCACCCATCTCGTAATAATGTCTTCTATCTCTTTTCCGGGTGGCTCTGGTCTCTCCCTGGGGCTCAATGGATACTGGGTTTGTTTAACTCACAGTCTTGGAAATAACCAACTGACCAACTTCTGTAGGGTCAACTTGGATCCGATTCACTCAAGTCCTACTGTGATTCCGCTCCAGAGTACGTTACTCTGTCTTTTGTGAACCAGGCTCCCGAACATACAGAGTCAGGCTATCCTGGTACCAACTTTGCTGGACACTGTGCGGCTGGTGTCTACAGTAACAAAAACGGCGTTGCCTCATCACTCCTCAGTGAATGCTACACTATCAAGGAGGGCATTCCATACTGCCAGGAGCGCGGAGTCAAGGTTCTTCTGAGCATTGGTGGAGTCTACAACGAAGCTGGAAGCAACTACAAGGTGACCACCGATGACAAGGGCGTTGATTTCGCAGACTTCCTGTATAAGGCATTCGGTCCTTACGATCAGAGCTGGGATGGCCCTCGTCCTTTCGACAGTGACGATGGCACAACCCGTCCTGCTGTCGATGGTTTCGACTTTGATATCGAGCATGACCTCCGTACGTGATGACCAACATATTGAAGAACGGAGCACCAGCTAACAACCACAAGCCAACGGCCCTTATATCGCCATGATCAACGAGCTCCGCCGATTGAACAGCGATGTCATCATTACCGGCGCACCCCAGTGCCCTACCAGCAACCAATACTTCTACATGAAAGACATGATCAACCAGGCCAAGTTCGACGCCCTCTTCATTCAGTTCTACAACAACCCCGGCTGTGATGATATCCCCGACCCTTCTGTTTCATGGGATAGATTCAATTACGATGACTGGGAGGGCATTGTTGAAAACAGTGCATGTAGTCAGAACGCCAAGCTCTATGTTGGTCTGCCTGCTAGCGAGGCTGCTGCTCCAGGCGGAGGCTATCTCGAGCCGGAAGCCATGAAGGATCTCGTCTGTGCTCTCAAGGACAAGACTCACTTCGCTGGCATCTCTCTCTGGGACTTGACTCGTGGTGCTGGCAACGAGATTGACGGCAAGAACTATAATGAGCATGTCATGGATGCCCTGAAGTATGGCTGTGACCCTGTTCCTGTTACAACCACCACTGCCTTGACCACTACCTCTGAGGCTTCCTCTACTGCAGAACTTACTACAACAGCTGACACAACTACTGCCGACGTTTCTACTACTGCCGGTGTAACAACCACATCCGGTGCCTCTTCATCTGATGTTTCTTACACTGATGTTTCTTCAACCGGCGCTTCTTCCACGGAAACTGCCACAACTAGTGGGTTGACGACTGCTGATACTACCACAGCCTCTGGTGTTTCTTCCACTGAAGACTCTACAGCCAGCTCTGATACCTCCGCAGCTACTGATGTCACATCAACACTGGCCACCTCTGCTCCATCTGATGCTTCCTCAGCAACCGAGACAACTGATGGCTCTGCCACAAATGTTTCTGGTTCTGTCACCGACACTACCGCTTCTGAATCATCTGTCACAGCCACTGATTCTTCCGCTGACACCACTGAGACATCCGCAACTGGCAGTGTCTTGAGTACCGGTACTGCATCTGCCACAGTCGATGTCACAGCCACTAGTGACTCGTCTGCTATCACTCAGGATGCCGCGACCGCGACCTCGACCACTGATGCCGTTCTCGAGAGTAACACAATCACCGGAACTGCCAAGACAACGGACTCTGCCCAGGAAACCGAGTCTGCCACTGCTGAGACTACTTTCAGCACCTTCAAAGGCTGGAATGCCACCTATGGTGCTCCTTCTTATACTCAGAAGTATGGCAACCCTACGACCCTTATCCCCTCTGGCACTGCAACTATTACTAAGGGATCACCTGTTTACACTAAGTACCCCGACAACACCTATGCTGTCAGCATGACCACCAGCACTGTCTGCACGACCCGAGTCCACACTGCTGTGGATGGTTACGTGGTCACCGAGACCATCCCTCTGTACACCACTGTCTGCCCCGTTACTGGTAAGGCCAAGCCTACCAACTACGCTGTGCCCTCTCAGTACGAGACTAAGACTGTCTACACCACAAGGATCCAAACCGGCACCAAGTGTCCTCCTGAAGTCGCAGACTGCCCCTATGGATCTGTTACTACAGAGACTATCCCCGTCTACACTACGGTCTGCCCGGTGACAGAGAAGAGCAAGCATGCCCCCACTGATGTCCCTTACAATCATGGGATCAAGACTCTCTACACAAGCCGGGTCAACACCGTCAGCCAATGTGCTCCCGGTACTCCTGACTGTGTCATCGGCGCCATCACCACGGAGATCGCTTCGTGGACCACAGCTACTATGCCTGCGCAGCAAACTCAGCCCATCAAGATCTACAAGCCTGTGTCTGAGATACCCAAGATTGCCACTAAGGAGGCTCAT